AGTACACATGGAAGGAAAAAATTATTATTTTTTTTTTTACTGCGTCACTATTGCTTTGTTACAGATCGTTTGATATGTACTGATAATGTGTAGGTGTCTAACCAAAATCACCAGTGACCAGTGATTTCTGATATATAATAATTAATGTACAGTCAGATGTTCTGTCTATTTGTCAGTAAATTACTAAACCGTCAACAATGTTTCTCTCAGTAGGATGAAACTAATCTGCCATTTGTGATTTAAAGTTATGATAAATTCCATTATAATCAACAAATCTCTTTTTGATAGTTTCACAGCAGACATACACCTTCAACAGAGTGTTCAAATCAGAGGGTAAAATCAGGGTAGGAAAAATGCCTTTTATTTATAAATTAGGAAGAAAAAAATTACGTAAAAAAAATCATACTAACATTATAAAATAATACAATAACGCAGTTCATGACCCCTTTAATAATGTTTTGTGAATTGGGCCCCTGACCTTTGGGATGAACTGGATGAAATTTGTGAACCAGGCCTTCTAATCCTACGTCAGTGCCTGACTAATCAAATACTCTATTGGACGAATGGTCAACAATTCCCACTGAAACAATCCAAACTCTTGTGGAAAGTCCAGAAGATTCAAGAAGAGTGGAAGCTGTAATAGCGGGAAAGGGGGGACAAACTCCATATTAAAATATGCATTTAGAATGCGATGTCATTAATTCATTACATTACATTATTGTTGGAGTAATGGTCAAGTGTCCCAATAGAGTTATGCAAAAACGTCCATATTTTTAAAAACTGGTTGCACTTCCGGTTCAGGTCTTTTGTATGTGCTTTGTCAAATATAACGCCATTTTCTTAAGATACATTCAAATTTGGGGCCCTGACTTATGGACTAATTTAAATTTTAGGTTTAGTGACGTCACCAATCCGGGAGGATTGTCGTGTCACCAGCCGTTTGTTGTAGTCCTTAAATGGCAATTTCTTTAAAAGAAAATATTTCTCTTTTATTTAAACTTTAAGCATTGTAACTTTGAAAATGTTGTTTGTGCTCCAACAACAACATTACACTATAATGTTAGAAAAGTGAAATCATCAAACTACCACCCCTTTAATGTAGGATGGATTGGTTATCTGTCAGATGGAAATGCCCCCACACCTTTCTTAAAAAGACAGCAATTTGATTGACAGGAATATTATTTTCTGTTGAAAGAATCTGTTGTAATGCTGAAATCTAACATCAAAACATTGACCATCATTAACTGCACATGCACACCTTGGTCCTAACTGGGCCCCAAACATACTGAGTGTCTTTCCTGATATAAACAACGCGGCACGGTGGTATTCAGGCAGAGAGGCTGCATGAATTTCCAAGGTGATTAAAGGCTATAAATAACTGCCTGTGTGTTTTTAGTTCTGGGATGGTGAAGCCAAGTGCTAGACATAGACCCTGCCCTTCATAGATAGCACTGTAACCTTCAACCGGCAGACAACCAATCGAATGACACCCCTCAAACACTGGACTTAACACCTACTGCCTATCACCTCCTCTTCAATGCCTGGCTCCATGCTCTTCTTCCCACAATCCCATACCAAAACTATCCCTTTCACTTGATATCACTGTCTTGCTCTACTTCGTTTGTCATTGATCACTGTCCTTTTTCTTATCATAACACTGATATTCCAAATTGGTTCAATGTTGTATTCTGTCCTGTATTGTAACCTTAGGAGGTTTGCCAGTTTCAAATTTGCATTGTCTCTCTAATCCTTTGGCCCTAAAATAACCCAACACACTTGTCCTCTCATAGATATCTAGACGGAGAGCAGCCAGTTGAACTTCAACTGCTGTGTACGCATGTGTGTGTGAGAGAGAGAATGAGGCTGTTCCCACAACACACAGCATGTGCTGACTAAATGCAATAAGTGTCAGTTCAAACGGACTAGTGCGGTGAGAATTAAAGTTCTCTGAACTTGAACTCCAATGTCAGAGCTGACGTTTTTCAGCTGGCAGTGTTGAGATCCGCCTCCACTCAACATCTCTTAGACTTTCATTGTGGCCTAACATGAAACGGATTCAGGGCTCTGTTTAAAATCACCATGAAATCAAAATTGACATTTTTTTTTCAATACGGAATATTGCAGTATTTATTATAAATCTTATTTCTATGTGCCCTCATAATCTTTAATCAAAATCTAAAACCCCTCCCTATTCCGACTTCTCTTCTCTTCTTTTCTCTTCTCTTCTCTTCTTTTCTCTACTCTTCTCTTCTCTTCTCTGACCTGATTACAGGTTTGAGGGCGGGATCAACCTGTCACTCAAATTACATCAACAATAGCAAAACATAACCATCCAATCAATTCCTGATCAAGTTTCACTTGGATTTCCATTAGGGAGAAAAGTTTATCACAACTTCCGTTCCATGCTTTAATATTTTTTTACAGTGCTGATTTATGGCTGACCGTGCGAACATTATTATACTTTAAACGATTTAAAAAATATATTTCATTTGATATTTGTAGTTTATAAATTAATGTAATGTTAATGTCTTCTCACGGACAAGGTTCCTCACGGCAAACTGGCAAATAATTATTTTAGAGTCACAATTCGGATTTTGATGCAGGATTCGTATTTTCTGCATTTTTTTTCTGCAATTGTTGTTTATAAATGTGTAGTGTTGGGAATTCTTTAAACATATTAAAGAGCCACAAAATTGTATTTATTGTTCGAATTACTTAAAATGAAATATTTGGAAGCTGATATGTTGCATCATATCAAAAGTATCAGTGTCTTCTCTAGTCCTGATGTATTTATCACTGCATGAGAGCACCGTGACTTGTCGGACGTAGCTACAGCAACTAAGCCCCTTTGCAATCCGCGGGTCTTTGGGAAGGGTCAATTTGAGTAAACATTTATTTCGCACCATTTTTGCATGTGGGAACTTCTAGGAACACTCTGGGTAATAATCAATATGGCATGGTTTTGGACTGTGTGGATCGTGGGAGTGATGTGTCATTTTAGTGTCCCTCATCATTCAGTCTCATTCACACTTCGCCTCTAGGAATCTGGAGTGGAGGACTGATAAGCATAAAAGGTCAGAGGTCAACGGGTGCAAGTTTTTTGCAGATTAGTTTCAAAGTTTAGTTTAGTATAGTTTAGTTTATTTGTTTAGCACTTTTAGTACAAGTACAGAACAATGCTAGGAGGGAACGAAGCTAGTCTAGGATTGTGCAGAGTTCCTCTCCTACTCCTATTAACTCATGAGACATGCAGACTAAACATCAAAAAAGAAGAAAAAAACAGAACACACAATAAAAAAAAACCCATCAACAAACGATAGGAAGCAATTCAATACAAGCAAGCAATACCTAGAAAAAACTATAAAGGCGTCAAGCTAGCAATAGTAGACTCTTCAAATGCTTTTTAAAAGCTGAATAAGAGGACATTGATCGCAACGATGGACTTAAATCACTCCAGAGCTTAGGACCTCTAAAAGAAATATTTAATTGATGTCTTGTTGTTCGTGTGTATCGTAAAACTAAATTATTATTGCTATGTCTAGTTTGAAACTAAATTGTTATTGCTATGTGTCACTCTTTATGATTTTGGCCTGAATTAAATGCAGGGATTTCAGACTTTTTAACTGTCTAATTAAATTCAGGGTTGGTTAAAAATGACAAAACAAACTTAATTAGGTGCTAACCTTTAGAAAGGTCTCATAGGTCTGCGAAAGTTTCTGCCTTCTGATCATTTTAATAGCCTAACCAAGCCTTTTAGTGAGCAGGCTTGCACTTGAGAGCACTCAACATCAGTAACATTAAATGTGAGTTTTGAAGTCTGCCTTTTTACAAATGAAAAGGTCACAGTAGCCTACATTTATGGTACAAAAAGTTTATTTAGTAACAGCTTTGTAAACATTTGAGGTAAATGAACATTTACATCAACTTGTTCTTATAAAATTGAATACACAAGGCACTTCTCTTAAGACAGCATCGAAACAGGCTGCTGTTCTGAGCATATGTAGGTGGTTCATTTCCCTGATTGGTCAGAATAATCAGCTCTGCTTGAGAAAATCAGTTCAAGAAATGAGCATTATCTGAGAATAATGGGCTGCAACTAAGTACACTACAAACGGATTGAGATAGGAAAGAGCTGGCTGGCTGGCCAATTCAAATTCAGAATCGATGAAATGCTATAATCCACAATGTTCAAATTTCCTGCGGTCCTTTCAGGCCACCACAACAGTCCTAAAATAAAACATGGGAAACGTGCATATTTCTTATACTCTACAAGTGCTGTTTTATAAATTACATTTGATGTTATTTAAGTGGAATAATACTGCCATCACACAACGACTTTTACCATTAAGACATTTTCCTTTAAGGATCAAAAAATATTTCCTCTTTTCTATCAATGTAAGAATTATTGAACAGTGTTTTTTGCCTAAATGTGCAAACCTTCAACTATTTACTAAAATGTAAACTTTAAGAACCAAAAAATGACAAAATAACACACTTTGGTTTTTGAATACATTAAAACAGCAGAAAATAAATAACATACATCTGTAAATACTGTGATCTGATGAAAGCAAAAGTAATTCTGTCCTAAGGACAAACCTGCACAGTCTGTGTGATGAAGCAATGCACCTCTTTCTATTTCAGGGCTGTCTGTCTCTTTAAATGGATTGCCGAAGTATATACCTGATAATAAAAGCACTGTACATTGTGTTTAAATGGGTCTCAAGAAAAAAATAAATCAGGTTGTGCAGTCATGTTGTTACAGTATGTGTACCGAAGGCATGTTCTATACAACAGCAGTAGTAGTCAGTGAAAATGAGGGCTTCACAGTACCCTGAAACTGGACAAACAAAGAGGAAGAAGAAGAGGGTGGGTTTGGTATGATAACTTCATTTCAGCATAAGACACTTGCAGCATCTTTATGTCCATTTTAAAGTAACTTTTTTTTTGGCAACCACAAACTGACTACAGAAAAGCAATGCTTAGCAATGCTTTTGATGACGTTTTTTTGTACTCATTCTCAACCAATTGCTTACATTTTTAGAAATAAAAATGCTCAAACTTTTCAATATAAAGGATTTCAAATGTCACATGTAATGAGAGTTAGTACTCCTCTCCTCAGATTAACTACTTCAAAAGTGATCATGTATTCCTGATGGTAAGATAGTCATACATATCAAAACTCTCAAATCCAAAAGAGGAGCAGGATGTGAACTTCAGATTATGGGATTGAAAAAAAGAAAAAAAAAAAGAAATGTGGTCCAGAGAATAAACAAGCTATATGAATTAAAACTGCACCATTCAGTAGTACAACAGTTATCTATATCACTTGCCTCAGTATATGTTAATTTTTTCATGTATGGATGACCTTTTGTCTGTTATGCAGACAAATAACAGACAAATATACCTTTTTTCTTCCCCAACACTTTGATTTATCTTTAGAGTGAGGAAATGTGGAGACAGATGCTGGAACAACAAAGAGAACATTTTTAAAAATGTTTCAAGATGAACTTGACAAATTCAACTGATTTTTTTTTCTCACTCTAGCATGTTCTATTCCAGGCTTCAAAAATAAATAAAATAAAATATGAGAATTGTCTACTCAATTAAACCAATTTTTTTTTTTTGGTAACCTGTTTTATTACACTGCAAACATTTTATGTTTGGTGCCTTTGTTTTATCATAAGACTTGGATACAATATTCGTACTAAATTGAATGGATTAAATGGCAATCTTTCAAAGGCCTTGTCAGACTAATTTACGTGACATTTTTCAGTGAATCACTCCAGATCCTGGTATAACATAACCTGCATCAGGTTGGCTGTTCCATTCAACTACACTAACCAGCATTCAGCAGGCATCTTTCATAATCCCATGGGAGATGATTGAACTCTTTGCGATCTGATTTTACATCGCTCAATGAATGGAATGAACTTTTCCATTCCAGCAATCTGCCTCTCACTTCCTCTTGTTTTTTTTTATTTCTCTGTGTTTTTGTCCACAAACCCTGCGCTTTGGGGTGGAGAGCCACTACACCGCCAGATCATTGGGCCTCGCTCTCGCGCTGCTGGCTTTACTAGCCTTGCTCAGTCGTCTAGCGTCAGTGAAAATGACGGGCGGCTCGTGCATCTCCACCGTGGTGGTGACGTGCCCCTCCTCCAGCCTAGTGCTCGAACCACCGCCGGCGGAGGTGGGGGTGTCAGCGAGCTGAGCGGCGTCTTTGGCTTGCCGCCCATTATTGGAAGAGTGAGACGAGGAGGAGGAGGAGGAGGAGGAAGGGGAGGGGGGTGCGGCTTTCATCTCCCGAGTCTGCTGCTCGGTGGCCAGGTTGGCCCAGTTCTGTTCGGCAGCCAACCTGTGGTTGTTGTTGCTGATGTAAAAAGGTGAGGACTCCTTGAGCTCCTCACACAGAGGGTCCATCTTGAACTCAGCCGTGGAGGGTGCCGACACAGGCTGAAGGAACACGCCGCCACACACGGCCACCTCCGTGTAGTCTGGCGGGTACCTGAGGGTAGGAGGCGAAGTTCTGGGAGACTCGAGCTCCGCTTCGTTCGCACCGGGCAGCGACTCGCGCTCGGGCGCGAACTCGTTGGTCATGCCCTGTTTGACCTTCTTCCATCCGAGGTGATATATTTCTAACAAATTCAGCAAAAGGGACACGCAAGCCACCACAAGCATAAATATGATGAAGATGGTCTTTTCCGTGGGCCGGGAAATGAAGCAGTCCACCGTGTTGGGGCAGGGCCACCGCGCACACTTATACAGGGGCCTCAACTGGAAACCATAGAGGAAATACTGACCTAAAATGAACCCCACTTCGAACAGGGTCTTGAAAATTATGTTGAACACATAGGTGCGCAACAAGGCACCTCTAATGCGGATTTTGCCGTGCTCGTCTCTGATTGGCGGCTTCTCCTTTTTGCCACCGCCGCCCCCACCCCGTCCACCAGACTCCCCTCCCCCTCCGTTTCTATACAGGAGTTCTTTCTCCTCCTGAAGCCGGCTAGCCTTTCGCAGCTCCTCCTCACGCTCTTTCCGCTTCTCCTCCATACGAACAATGTGCAGAACATGGCCCAGGTAGATGAGCGTCGGCGTGGACACAAAGATGATTTGGAGAACCCAGAAGCGGATGTGGGAGATGGGGAAGGCCTCGTCGTAGCAGACGTTCTCGCAGCCGGGCTGCTGCGTGTTGCAGGTGAAGTCCGACTGTTCATCGCCCCAGACCTCTTCGGCTGCCGCTCCCAACACTAGAATCCTAAAAATGAAGAGTACCGTCAGCCAGACTTTGCCGATCACGGTCGAGTGTTCCTGTGCATTCTCCAAGAGCCGCCCAAGAAAGCTCCAGTCACCCATGCTTCACGATTTCTAGCCTAGAGAGAAAGTACAGTCTGCAACCGAGAGAGAGAGAGAGAAAGATTAAGAGGGGAACAAAGAGGATTCATCAGAACTAGTTAAACTGTTAACAAAATAACATGTTACACTTTACATGATATGGTTAGGATCTTCTTAGTCTAGGCCTGTGATGTGAAGGTATGTTCACACAGGCACAGCTAAAAGTACATAAACCTATAAAAGAAACATGCTCAGCTCATGAACTCACTCAGCATTTCACGGTTCTACATAAGATTCAAACTGTAAGCCCTGATGAAGCACTCGCCAGTCCCTCAACAAATTCATCAAATGATGTTTGGGAAAATCAAGCAAATCAGTCTTGACAAATATCACATTGACAAAAAAGTTAGAGATAAGACATAAACTTATGGATTTCGTGACCCCTCGCTATTTAACTCTCTAACTGGCTGCTATGAACCTGGCATGCACAGTGTAAGCAAACTTTCTATGGCTCCCTTTCTCTCCAGCCATCACACACACACATACACACTTTTTGAACACACTCAAACACACAGTCTCTTTCTCTCTCACCTGTTCGCTTCACTGCCCAGCAGGCATGTGCTGAGATCGACATTATAATGTTCAAAAACAGCTGAAAGCGTTGACTGGACAGTGATGTGTGAAGAGACCTGATAGAGCCAATTTCAGGACATCAAGGGGGAAAATGCAGTGAAATATGGAGACAATGGTATACCAGGCCACTTTTTAAGTGTTAATCTACACTCATATCATGTCTACATTATTATAATTAATTGTCAGCTAAAACAGTAAAATTCATGATTTCACCCTGTAGGTGTTGTAATTACTTTGAAAAATGGATGAATCCAGAAATGAGTGTCATGATATAACTTAAGGATTTTGATCAGCACAGATTAATCTTTATCATAATAAGTACAAATACACAGCAAGAATGAACAGAACCAGTGTGAGATATCATTGTCACTTGTAAACAAAGACTCCTGAAAAGCAAGAGACAACAGGCAGAAAAAAAAATACATTTTACTTACTAAAATTATGTTGTATTGAGGGCGGCAAATCCATCGACTAAGGTTTTATACCAAGTCTATGACCCTGAAAGAGAAGGTGCAAGTTACATTATAATAATTATAATAATAATAAACTTTTATCTGTAATTATTTAAAAAAAAAAATTTTTTTAGATAACTTTATATAACGGCTAATTGAATTTTTATGTTAAAAAAAAAACACATTTAATTTATTTATTAAGATTATTTAGAAATATTTTTAAATCCTTATATTAGCTCCATAGATAATATAATTGTAGACCTTTTTAAGTCCAGAAATGGATGGTATGAAATGGCTAATAATTTTGATCAAATACACCCCAAAAATATTTGTATTTCTAAGGGAGCTAACATGTTCATTACAGATATTACAGTTTTTTTTTGTTTTTGTTTTTTTTGTAATGATCATGATATTTATCGTCTTTGATCTATCTGCTAAGCATTGGATTACAAACTGCTGCTGTCAATTAACGTATGATAGTAATAATCCATTTAGGTCAATATCAATAATATGTCAGTTAGAGAGGCAAGTTTTCTATTCTTTGCACTGATTATGCGCTCATACCGGTCATCTCAAACAACAGATGGTTTCTTGAAATGTGTCTAAATCATGGTAGCTGTTAGATTGGAGTCAAAGTTGCAACTCGAGAAAAATAACATAAATTAATATGGGATGTAAAACGATAAAATATTGCGTACATCTAACTTAAAGCATACCTTGACAAGTAGGCAAACTTATCTAAAGAAAGCAATATCCAGCGGCCACTGGTGCCACAGTTTGAGTGCGTTGGAAGCATACAGACCTCCCAAAGGCAGCAGGAGCCCTCCCCGCTCCCCCCGTTCCCAAATCCTGGCAGCACTGCCAGCTTACCAAACTCTTTTGAAAGTGGCCGGTCAACTTATTAATTCACAAATGTTCTTCAAACATAGACCCGTGGCCAAAATCTCGTAGAACACCTAGTTATTCATGGCAAATCGAGTGTGGAGACGGGGTCTCACCAAGCGCAGCTGTCTCCCGTTCCCAGCCATCGCTACCGTCACTTTGAGTGGTCATGCAAGAGTGCTGCGTTCAGAAGTCATCGGCCAGTCAGCGCGCACGCCACGCCCCTGTCAACTGGGGTAAACTCATCGCCCCAACTTAACTATACTTGAACACGATTTTATTCAGGTCTATACGGTGAAGAAAGATGCTTTATTTTACTTTATACCACAGAATATTGTCATAAACTAATGATAATAAAAAATGATTAATGTATAATAATAATTAAAAAATGATTAGGCCTAATAAACTTAACAGTAGCCTAATATCATTGAGCAAGATGAAAACAAAAAAGAGACGTTTTTATTGTTGTTTCACTACGCCTTCAATGCGTTGATTGGTAATACTCGAACGTTGATTCTGTGTTTGTTTCTGTGGAACTATTCGTTGGCGGAGTGAAATTATCAACAATAAAAAAATGTACAATTAATAGCTAATTAGCTTTTAAAATCAAATAAAATCACCTGCGTCCGAATTAAAGCTGTGCGAATGCTCTCAGAGGGCTACAACTGCATTGTGTAATAATTAGTGCTTGTTTATTCTCCACTAAAGATCCAATAGAGGCTACAGGGGCCCAAAGTGTGGAATGTTGAAACATTAGTAGGCTAATTAAAGCAATCACTGAAAGCTGGTTTGTGGAAGTAAACTGGTAAAAAGATAAAAATTAGTCTCCAGTCCAAAATTCTGGAATTTGTGTAAGCTGCATGGGAAAGTATCCAGTCATGCTAGCAGGCCTTGCCTAAAATTGGTAATGCGCCACCCTCTATTGGTTTTCCCGAGAGAATCCACCAGTGAGAATCACAAAACTGACAAACACATCAAACATTTAAAATTTAGTTTTTTTTATTAAGATATTCTTATAAAAGTTAAGTTTTTAGCCAAAATTACGAAGAAACGTATTTGTTTGACACCAATAAAAAGTAGGCTATTTCAGCTTGGGTAAACAGCAGAAGATTCCATCAATAAACCTAGCTGTGGAAACTATTCCAGCGGTTAAATCACAGCATTAAAAACAAAACTGTTCACCGCTGACTTGTAGTCCTACTCAGGGGAGAAAAACTAAATGTAAGATTATAACATGACAGTCGACGAAGCGCGAATCTAGGTGCGCGCTCAGAGTCAGCGCTCTCACCTGTCAACGGGTAGACTGACTGAAATGTGTCACAGAGTACGTGGCGCGCGACTAGCCTAGGAAACATTGTCATGCACGCGACTACAGTTTATTTGGTCTCAACTTAAATAATAAGTCACTGCTGTAAGTTGATATGACTCCTACTGGGTATTTCAATGCAAGGATATGCAAAAAATAATAATAATAATAATAATAATAATAATAAAATACTAATAAAAACATAAGCCCCCCTCAGTTCTCTACATTATAGCTAGCTACCACCAGTCTAAAACTGCTGATGGGTGGGTTTTATTAAAATAATAATAATAACAAGTAAACAAAGCAAAATTCAATCATGTAAAAGTCTAAATAAAGAGAAGCATGTGCAATACAAAGTGAATGATCCCTCACAAACAGGACACTCAATTTTGTGCAAAGGTCACTGAACTTAATTTATGTTGTTTGACCACTAGGAGTCACTCTTGGGCTTTTCTAATGCCATTATTAGAGTACTGAGGCTACAGAGCAATGTGGAAAATAAAATTCAACAACCCCAACATTTTTGCAGTCAATGCAGTGTACTCCTTAATTGTATTTTGTGTAGGGTACAAATGTCAGCTTTTAAATGAACCATGCTTGACCATGCTCTCAGGCTAACTTGTCAGAAACCAACAACAAATCACATACTGTTAAAACACTGTAACATGCCTATTCTCATGCATGATGGAATTGAGTCACTTGATGTAGGGATAATCTTAAAGAGTCTTATTGGTCGAGGAGTCTGAAGAGGATGACAGCAACTTTGTGTTCTTTTCGTTCTGTAAGAGCGCCTTTTCTGTGGACATTTTATCTTGGTGTACAAAGGCGCGCCTCCTCTTGGTTCTGGCCGAGCACCTCAGCAATGCCTTGACAATCAAGTAGCTCAGTTCAGCCACATTGAGCACAATGCAGATGGCAGAAGATCCCACCATGAAAATGGTGAAGACCGTCTTCTCTGTTGGCCGTGAGATAAAGCAGTCAACTTTATTGGGACAGGGCCACTGCTCACACTTCACAAGACGTGCCATCTGAAACCCATCGTAGACATAATACAATGCGTACATGAATCCGGCCTCGAAAAGGAGCCGGAAGAACAGGCTTGAAGTGTAGGTCCACCACAGCGGCCCAGTGATGGGAAGACGCCTCTTCTTCAGGCTCTCCAGGTCATCCCCTTTGGCACTGCCAGCACGGTTTGCCAAAATGCCTTTCTTTACGTTGCGTTTGCGGTACGCCACATGCATAGCCACCAGCAAAGCCGGCGTAGACACGAAGATGAGCTGGAGGCACCAGAAACGGATATGCGAGACTGGAAAGAAGTGGTCGTAGCAGACGTTTTTGCAGCCGGGCTGTTGTGTGTTACAGGTGAAGTCGGACTGCTCATCTCCCCAGACCGTCTCGGCTGCTATTACAAGGATGCTAATGCGGAAGATGAAGAGGACAGACAGCCAGATCTTTCCCAAGCTGGTGGAGTGTTTATTCACTCCTCCCAGCTGGGCATAAAGTGCTCCCCAACTCATCCTGTCAACTGTTGCGGTCAGATCCTAATTAAAAAGAAAGAGAGGAATTTGAATTAGCAACTATAAAAAGGCCAACTTTAAATCATTTCACTATTTGTTTAGGCATGCAAACTGGAGTTGTTTTTAATAGCTTTTAAAAAAAAGACACTAAATAAACTTTACATATTGTTCACACAGTTTTATTGACAAGTTTTCTGTTAACTTTGGAGTTCAAAATTACATTTTGGATGATAAAAACACTCACCGACAAATAAAAAAACAATGAGAATCTAGGACACATATTTTTTTTAATAATTTGTAAACACTTTTTTGTGTGTAAAATAGGTCTGCTGCATATTCACTAATTCCAAAAAGACTCAACATACTGAATTGAAAATAGCCTACTTTTATTAACATTTGCTTATTTAATAACATGAATACAATACTTTATTAATTAGCCCAACACATACTACATTCCGTTCAAAATAAAAGTTCTCACACATTTGGTAACATTTGTTTTATGGTCAAGCTTAAAAGGATATTTCACCCAGAAATTAAAATTCTGTCATTTACTTCCCCTCAAGTTGTTCCAAACCTGTATAAATGTCTTTGTTTCGCTGAACACAACTGCAGATATTTTGAAGAATGTTGGTAATCAAACAGTTGTGGGACCCCATTGACTTATATATAGTCAACTGTTTAGTTACCAATTATCTTCTTTTGTGCTCAGCAGAAGAAAGAAACTTGAGGGTGAGTAAACGATGACACTGACAGGATAGAAAACTATCCATTTGACGCGTCAAAGTTATCACATAAAATGTGAAAAATAACAGTGAGAATTATGGCAGTTTCACAAAAATGTACCTGTTAGAAACAAGCTGATTCAGACCAAATCCATGATAAATATCCGTCCAGGTGAGTAAAAATGAGTAAATTCAGTTGCGGAGTGTCTTGTAGGCTAGTCTTGAGAGTGAGATGAAGTGATTGACTGAGGACATCGAGCGCATATTTAGTGTTCTCTCTCTCTCTCTCTCTCTCTCTCTCGGAGAGATGCACCTGACGTCGGGCGGAGCCACCGCATTCATTGGATGCTTCTTGAGCTTACAAGAGACAAAAGTAGAATTCTCAATGTCCACGGAATGCGTCACGCGCTTGCACAGCTCAAACTGAGGCGCTACTTGCAGATGTGCAATTATCCTCCGCGGCCAGTTTAGAAACTTTCACACGGTAAAGGTTTATATTTCAGGTCATGCGTAAACAACCTATAATCGTATACAAATTGCTGTTTAAATGCAGACGAACGTTCAGTGGCCATAAAACTACGTAACTTTTCTTTGCCGGTAAAAACATTAGGCCTACTTTTAGTTTTAAATAATATGTACACAGAAATAAAAATTCACTTTAGCTTGGAATTGCTTTAAATGTTTACAAAAGGTGGTTCAAATTATTGAACACTGCTAAAAATGTATTTGTACCATAAATAAATTGTCTTACACTTTGACAACACCAGTCTTTTGTTAGTTCTGAGAAAAGTTTCTAGCATTGATTTATTTGTATACGAGTCTGACACTTGGTTTGACAGGTTATGTGATCCAAATAAATGTCCACATACTGATTTATAAATGTTGCATGAGGAAAACGCCACTATTTTTAATTGAGTGCATTTCCTAAACACGCACACACACACCATAAAGGACTTGCCAACTGGAGATTGCTTTAATTTTCCCTTTAATTGTGAAATTTTACATCATGAGCAAGAAAGTACTTTAGCTGTATAACAAGTAGGCCTACTTCACAAATCTAAGACTTTTAAATATTGGTAAAATTCAATTCATAATTAAATTAACACTTATGCCATTTCTGAGGTTAGCTTTCATTTGTCATTTTCGTCTATAATCAGACATATTTTGTTGCCCAGAAAGAAAATATCCAACCAAGGACAACAATGGCTCAGATGATCCAACCACTCCCATTTACGTAGGCTATTATCTTATTGACTAGCCTCATTTCTTTAGCTTAGCCAGTCCCATTAGCAGTTGATCTCTCCTCTCTCTCCTCGCTGTGAGGTGCTCCTGCTCACTAGGGATCAGCTCACAGACCTCCTAAAAAGGTGAACAAATCTTTATTTTAGTTTACGATGATTTACAAAAAAATAAAATAAAAATGGTTTGTTATTTGTAACATCTGTCTGTTAACAACTGACTTTAGGTTTTCCATACAACAAAATAATTTTAATATTGCATACTTTTATAATTCTAGCTGCTGGCTCTCCAGAAAAGTCTGGAACAGGCCCAAAAGTAGTAAGAACCCTCTTCATGCCATCACTATAGCGCTGGAGATAGTCTTCCATACCTGGACAGACAAAATACATGGTAAGAATTAAATAAAGATTTTATTTTACAAGGTTTTACATTTCACCAATACAGTAAAATCATAGTAGACTATAAAAAAATCGAATATGATCAGACTCTAAAAACGACTTATTACAGAAAGTGTTTTGATCTATTTTAATTCATTTAAAAAAAAATGTAAACCATGCAACAAAATTCATATTTAGTATATTCAAACACTGCTAGTCATTTTGAATATCTTTGCCACTAAAGGGAAAGACTGCATATTCAACTTGGGAATTGAGTCCAAAATGACTCGGCAAATAGATGTTTTCTAGAGTCTTCAAGCATGAATTGAGTAGCTCCTCATTTGAAGGGCATGAGTGCTTTTAGAAGGGCTCTCAGCAGATAAGATGTGCACCAGTGAAAGTTCAGCCACAGTTCTTCCCTTACAGATTCCAAGAACCTGTGCCATTACAGCGAAGGAAGAAACAAGGGCGAAACTCTGAATACAGGGGGCTTTATCACCAAAGTGAGAGTAGCACCTCACTCACAGTACATGCAGGCAGGGCTGAGGATAATAATTCATCTGTCTGTCATCATCAAATGTTAGTACTGATGTCACATGGCAAAGCACGTGACATGGGGGGGAGCAGGGTCATCCTACAGATTTCACATTGCCTTCTGATTTTCACCGTGAACACGAGATCTCTTCGAAACGCATGCCCATTTACACACATTTGAACTTTCACATTTGTTTTTCACCAATTCGCTCTCTCTCACACACTTATTAAAGTCATGTGAGTTTGATAATTGACAAGAGCAACAGGTTTTCACACACTGCTTTTTCACTGCCACAAGCACCACAGCAATTTCTTTTCCATGCATGACGAAAACAAAAACGTCTCAGTGCTTAAATACAAAAGTTTCATTATGCCATTTAAACAAAAATCCATGGGTTAACTTGCCTTCTGGTGCGTTGAGATGCATGGTTTCAATGGGACCTATAAAAGCGTAGCGCATGCCCAGGCCCTCAGACATCACCAGATCAATGTCCTTCACTGAGATCACTCCATCCTGCATAAGAAGAAAGAGAAGTTCATTTGGCAGCTTGCTCTGTATTATACACTTGGATGAAGGACAATGTTTCTAAAAGTGGTTTACTGATGTTCTGATCTTCTAATCCTAAAATTACAGCTTCCTGCTTAGTAGTTTGCCCAGCCAACAAGGTTTGGTCCACCTGACTGAGAGGAAAACGGAGCCCCCCCCCCCCTCCTCTTTTTTGTCCCATCTAAAGATTACTAAAGCCGCTCCCAATGTATTGAGTTTCTCTTATCATTTAACTCGGTGTCCTCTGAACAATGGGATGGTATGGCAGAGGGAAGTAAGCGTAGTTGTGCCAAGCTTTGGACCCACTTTGGACTCAAATTACCTGTGGCCACAGATACCTGTTGCCTGACTATGCTGAAATCAAAGCTTGGATACAGAACGGGCAGTGGGGGACAAGTTTAGGAGGGGACAGGGTGGTCTTTGTTCATTTCCTGCACGCAACAACGAGGCCGTTATCTCTGTGTCGCCAGGCGGCGGACTGGCTGGGGAAACCGTGAAAGAGGCCTTTCCTGTACACGGTAATCAACAGGGGCAGCCATTAACTTTCCCAGGTGCTCTACTTTCCAGAGCTGGCTCTCTCTCAAAAGGGCCGCCTGAACTCTGAGACTCATGAGTGGATTTGAGCTACAAATCTTGTGTGTAGTGCAATGTCCCAACTTTAAATGTTCCTTACTATAAAAAACAAAAACTCACCTCTGTATGAACACACAAACAATGAAAGAGGCAAATCCATGAAAACACAAAATCTTCAGAACGTCACTTTAAAAATGGTGAAAGGCTTGCAGAAAGCTTAGTGTTGTTATAAACAGATCAAACCTTTTTTTTTTTTTTTTCCGCATCTGTGGGCACAGTTCTAAGGCCAATTCACACTGCACTGACCGACGACGACCAACCGGACAATCAGAGCAGACTACAGACTACATGTTTATTCGACGAAAACAAGCTCCGAAAGACACCAATAAACACAGACAGGGCTGATCCGAGAAAACCAGACAGTGTCTGTTGGCGCTGTGTGAATTAGACTTTAAACTCTGGTTAAATATTTTGGGAAAAAATAACAAAACAAAACTTTATTAATCCCTGCTATATAACCATTAATAATCACTGGTTCTATCACTTCTTTTTTTTCTTCTGAAAACAGTGATCAATTCCTTAGTCTACTCCATATTCAATTTTAGGACATTTTCATCACACCATCTAACAAATAACTCAACCTCTCTTCTATAGTCCACATCGTTGCCTTAATTAAACCAACAAGGGCAGTATCATCCGAAAACTTTTGTATACAACATGAATTTTGAGTGTGACTGTAGTCAGCTGTATACAATGAAAAGGTGATAAAACTGTGCTTTGAGAGGCTCCTGTTTTAGTTAAAATAATGTCAGACATTTTATCACACAACCTAACAAACTGGGGTCGACTCGACGTATAAGATAATTCAATACCCACATAATAGTTATACTATGTAGGTTACAACAAAGCAATTTATCAGCAGGTTGAATTGGGTTAAAGGCACTAGGAAAATAAAAAACCCAATCCTAACAGAACTAGAAGTTTTTTCCAAGTGAATTATGCAACATAAAAAGTATGACATCATCTACTCCCACACCTTTTTGATATGCAAACTGTAACAGATCGTGAAAATCTACTGTCTACCCAGATAACCAAGGATAATCATCTCAAAACATTTCATTATTTGTGACGTCAAAGCAATGGCTCTCAAAGTATTTAAACTGCAACCCAGTGAACCCACCATGTTTTGAAATGGGAACAAGACACAATGTTTTCCACATATCTGGTATTTTCGATGAAGACAAAAAAATTAGTGAAAAACTGAGCACAGACTCGCGTGCTGGTTTAACTGGTTCATCAACATGTTTTTTTTAAAAAGCTTAACCTTTCAACAATTCAAAAAGATTCTTTTAAAATTCCTAAAAGCATTTGCAAAACATGGAATTGTCAGTGACAGTAAAACTACACAGTAATGGGAGGGTGTCTAAAGATTTCGGTTCTTATCTAGATATGAACCCATGGATTTATGCCTCAAATGGTGAATGTTAAGAAATTTTCCCTCTGACTGCAAGGAAATCACAAGACTTGTCAAATGTCAAAATTTCTAAAACACACGCTGTAACCTGAACACTGCAAATAAACTAATGAGACATAACACAATAAGCTAAAGCATCTTATTAAATTATCTTTTCAATGACTGCAAAATAATAACACCATGAAAAATAAGAAAAGGAAAATGGTTACAAGGAAGAATACTTAAATGGGGTGTGACGAATAAGATAAATGGGTATATATGCAATACAAATGACATTTACAACTAATGTGACATTTTGTCTTCAGCCTCAAGACTTCCTTCAGCACTGCCTCCATTCAGTGGTTATAAACCTGAAAGCCATAAAGCTGTCATGCATGCCAGTCAAAAAGTACCAGTAAGAATATATTAGCATAACATAAGATTTTCAGTTCTGCCATTTTAAATTGTGAAGCAAAACCAGAATGGAGAGTGTCCTTTATTCGACAAACACATGCATCTGTGACCTGCTTAAAAGAATAGCAAATTTGACACCAACCAACATCAGTACAAGTGGTTCAACTTTTAACCTCTCAAATGTTGGTCAATGTGATTCAGTCACAGGTAAGAACAACACAAGGGCGTTTTTTTTTTCAGTAAGGAACCTCTGTTTTGGCTTTATAAACATTGAGAGCTGGGATTGAAGAACAGACTTTCAAAGAACAATGGACATTTTCATCTCAAAATGTAAATCAAAATCTAGACCATGTCATTTTAAATGTTATATCTAGTTGACTGAAAAACATAAATCCTGTCATCATTTAGTCATTTGACTTTCTTCTGCTTAATATTATTGTATTAAAAAATATCTGTGAAATATCTGTCATTCTGTGAAATATCTTATTCAGAAGACATCATTTAGAAAATCATGCAGGTTTGAAACAACATGAGGGTGAGTAAATGATGATATAAATTTATGATCATGATGATGAATCCTTATAAAAATTTCCTAAGAGATTAATTAGAAGAGATAAATACAATCCTTTGGATAATCAGCGTTACTAATGTAGGATAAGGGTCTTTATCAAGGACCAGACAGGGCCATACTCTCAGTATTCATTAGTACTGCACAGGCAGAAGTATGAGGCC